AGAAATTCTATGACTCCACTTACAGGAGGTGCCTAGGGTAGTAAATTCATAGAGGTAGAAAGCAGAATGGTGGTTGCCAGGGACTGGGGAGGGGAAGAGGGAATTTAATCAGTACAGCATTTCAGTTTTACAGATGGAAAAGTTTGGGCTGGTGGAGTGGCTTAAGTGGTAGAACACCTGCCTAGCAAGTGTAAGGTCCTGAGTTCAAACCCCAGTGCCATAAAAAAAAATGTGAAAGTTCTGCAGATCTGTGAATGTATTTAACATTACCGAACAATACACTTATCAGTGATAAATTCTGTTATGTGATTTGTTTTTAAACCACAATAAAGAGAAAAATGAAAAAAGAGCAAGAGGTTGCACAGGCCATTTAATCCAATCTTCCCAACTTGTAGATGAGAAAACTGAGCCACGAGAGAAGTTATCTGCCATAGGTACACATCCCCAGCAGGATTCAGATCAGGATGGGCTGGCAGATTGTAAAATGAGCACAAGGCAATTATACATCAGTGTTAATGGTAGCCCGAATTTCTGTATTAACCCTATGAATTTATTATCTTGACTTCTGTTAATTCTAATTTTTGTAGAACATGGTTTCCTTCTCCCTTGGGGCTAAGCTTATTTGCAGAATGAACCATGCCATAGCCCTGTGTATGAATGTCTCACCTAAAAACGTCAATACAGACATAACTGTTCCAAATTTTAAATGTTAATATTTTAACTTCTGATTTGAAATCAATGGACTCAGGTTCAATGTTTCTACACACAAAAGCCGGACTCGGGGTTCACTCTTAAAAGGTGACCAAGGGGGGTTATGTGCTAGGCACACTTAGAGAGGTCCAAGTAAGTTATCTAGAAAATTCACTTAAGAACAACTGTGTGAGCTGGGCGCCAGTGGTTCACACCTTTAATTCTACTGACTTGGGAGGCTGAGATGAGGAGGATCTCGGCTTGAGAGACATCATCTCCAAAGGAACCAGAGCAAAATGGACTAGAGGTGGGGCTCAAGTGGTAGAGCGCCTGGTTTGCAAGTGCGAAGCCCTGAGTTCAAACCCCAGCCCCCTCCCCCATAACCCTGAAAGAAAGAAAACTGTGTGGCTGATGTCAGCCCAGTCCTCCCAAGAGCCAAAGCCTTGAGCTCCTCCACAAAGCCTGCAGAGTAGCACTGAGGGCAGCTGTAATGGGGTGGAGTGTGGGAAAAACCTAGACTCCAACTCCAGCTCCTCCACTGCCTTAACCTTAGTTCTAAATGTTTTCCCTTGGTGGTGCTGGGTATGGGGTTTGAACTCAGGGCTTTGCATTTGCTAAGCAGGTGCTTTACTACTTGAGTCGTGCCTCCAGTCCTGCGGTCTGCATCTCAAAATAAGGAAGAACTTACAGCACACTGCCGGTGTTTGGTAAAAAGCTGTGGGTAAAAGGCATCTGGGAGAGCAGCACTCATCATTCCTAACCTGGGGCCATCATGATGACCTCTTTGTGACCTCTCAGTGTCTCAGTTTATCTGCAACATGGGGAGAACAGCACTTTGTAAAGTTGCTATAATGTTGAAATGAATTAGTTCATTAGAATAGCTTGGAGCTGTACCTAGCACATAGTCAAGTGCTCAGATATCAGCTATTGTCGTCAGATATTAAAGTCACAGTGTGATCCCCCAAGGATCAGTTATTTGTTTACGAGGGACCCACCTGGGACCTGACAATATGGGCAGGCAGAGGAGTCTGGAGTGTGTTCTCCAGGGCCTTCAGTGTTTTCTGATGTCTGCATGGTCTTGGGTTGTGGCTGGCCCTGAGGTTCCTAAGCTGGGGGCAGGGATGAGCAAATCCAGGGCTCAGATGTTTACCCTCTTTTGCCCCTGGCTGACCCAGAGTTGACACAGGACAGAACGAGGCCGCTGTGGAGAGCATGCCAAAATCACCCATGTGACAGGCAGCACTAGCCCTTCTCTGGTACTCTCCTTCACCTTCCTTGCTTTACCTTCCTTCATCCAACACCCTGGATACATCACTGGTGCCTTTTACTATTGCCAAGATTCAGCAGAGGGGAGTCCCCGATGTTGGTTGAGCAAATGAGAGGATGCATGTGACAGGAGGCCTGTCAAGTGACCATCTATGGGGACTGAGGAGAGAGTGAGGGATTCAAGTCATGATAGAGCAGGGAGGGGCTAAGGGAACAAAGGGGCAGGAGAGGCAGGAGAGTCCTGGGGAAAAGCTACTGGCCAGAGAAGATGAGAAGGTAGAGGACCTTGACAGTCTCTAGCCAGCTCAAAGCTGGCCTGATCTATCAGGCCTGAGTTGCCCTGGGCTTCAGAACAACAGAGAAGTCCCCTTGAGGTAATACTAGCCCCAGCACAAAACCCTACAGGTTTGTGTGTGTATGTGTATTGGGTGGGTGGGGGGTTAGGTACCACAATACCTCCTTTGCATACTCCAAGTCCTCAGAAACCCCAGCCACCCCACCTTCTTCCAACTGTGTCTTCTATTCCCTGCTAAGAATCCATCTAAGACCCAGGCTGGGAAATCCAGCATTTCCATAGTACCCACCTATGCTATGGGCAGATGTCACCAATCAATTGTACACTGTCCTGCCAAGTCCTGGGCAGCGTGGATGTTCTGACTGTGGGATCCAGGCTGCTAGTAGACTGGAATAGGCCATCTTTGAGGGCGAGGAGACACATAGGAAGGAACTGCCCAAACTACACAGAGAGAGGGAGGCCAGGCTCATCCCAATCCCCCATAAACCACAGAACACTAAGGAGGGCTCCAACCTTCCCTACAGCAAGTAAATGGCAGTGGCTGTGGTGAGGGGGAGGTGGCTGTAGGATTTGAGTTTAATCCCAAGCACGAGGGCTGGCAGGGAAAGGATTTGATTTCATTCCTTCAGATGCCCAAGCCCTGGCCAGAGCCCCGGGGCGCAGGAGTGAAGGCCACAGCTGCCCAGCTCCTACCAACAAAGCCTTCCTTTATTAAATAGAGATCGAGTTACATTCCACTCAAAGAAGGAAATCCGGCATGGTAAGGGATGTGTTCAGGTTGGAGCCCCTAACCCTGGTCTGTTCCAAGTGAGTGGGTTGTAATGGGTGGGACAAGGCCCAGGTCCTGCCCACCTCTTCCAGCCCCAAATATACAGGGCGCCTGTTGTCTGAATGGCCACACACAATTGCAGCAGGCATCCTGAGGTCCACTCTGTGTCACACTTTAGGAGGAAAGTGCCCCAGTCCAGTAGTTTTGGGATCAGAGCCTCTTGAAGCCAGACCAAGATGGGAGGGAGGAAAAGGGAAGCCTTTATATAGAGAGAGGGAAGAGGGGTTCATCTTTAGTGCTTTGAGGCAGTTCCCCACCTTGCACAGGTTGGAGGAGACAGCTGTAGAGGCCATGCTGCCAACTGGTCATTGGAATGGCATGGGATACTGGGACAGTCCAACATGGAGTCCACATGGGAACAGGATGAGGGATGGCCACTAGAGGGTGCTGGTGGACCAGGGCCTAGGGACTGTAGTGGAGGATATCCTGGAGATCTGGCCATCCCAGGACAGTCCCTTTCTGAAGGTGTGGCAGCAACAAGGTGCCTGTAGGGAGCAGCTCTTTAGACCACGGAGGGGCTGTTGGCCATCCAGGGGTCTCCCCCCAAGGTCTAATCCCCCAAATATGGCTTGGAGTTCCATGGTCTTTGGTGCTTTCTTGAAATTCTCCTGGTGGTTGCACAATGCATGGAGAAGACACAAAGGTCATCTCATGAAGTCCAGGCCAATCTGTCCCTCTACTTGTCCTGGAATGGACATTTGGTGATGGCTCAGTGGTGCTTCCATGGCTTGGCTGTTTGTCTGTTCTTTCAGCTTCTGGCTCAGGGCTGGTTTTAGGACCCGGTCTTCTGGTCTGTCTGTTATGAGACATCTGTTCTTTCCTGCTCAGAGTCCGGCTCCAGGCTCTGGGCCATGCCCTAGGGCTCCTGGGGGAAGAAGCCAAGCTTGGCCAGTGACATCTCCTTCCGCAGCCTCATGATCTCCCAGAACATCGGCTCCGCTGCAGGCAGAAAGAGGAACACCTCAGGGTCACCTCAAGCAGCAGACCTGGCTCTCTCCCCTGGCTTTGGGCAGGCTAGTGGGCTCAGCACCCCCTTACCCTGACCAGACATACATAACACACTGCCACACACTCAACAGTAATGCCTAAGAACTGGGAACTGCACTTGACAGGTTACAATTGTTTTCTGACCTTGACCTAGAGCATTAAGAAGGCCACAGTGTCAGTCTATGTGCCTGCAGGAGGAGCTCTTCAGGCAAAGGCCTGGAGGTGGTAGAGACCCCATTCTGGTAACCAAGGGCAGCTACACGGGGAGCAGGCCCAGGGGCCAGGAGAGGTTTCTGGGCAGCAGAAAGAGTGTCTGGGCTCAGATGCATGGGAGGCACTGGGTCCGCTGTCCCAATGAAGCAGGGCCCAGCAGGCTCCTTTGTGGAACTCAGCACTGAGGAGAATCACAAACCCTTTGCTAACCCACAACCTTCCTTCTGGCCACCTGGAGGTGAAGCCCCAGAATCTTGCCACTGCCCCTGAGCAGACAGACTCGGAAAGCACTTGCCCACCTTTCCCTGCCCTTCCCTGGCCTGCTGCTCCTCCCCTCACCAGCATCCCTGAACCGACCACCAGGGGCGCTCACCATCCTGCCGCACCAGGCCTTGTTGGATATAGCGGATGTAGGTAAAGAAGTTGCATACTGCCGTGATCTGTGGGCAGAAAAGGGAAGGTGTGATCACCAAATCTTCATACTTGGGGGTTTTCCAAAAGCCAATGTGGACTTGATACTAGAGCAGGAAGCCCCAGGTTCCTGGAAGAGCCAGGTAGTGCTCCCTGACTCTGCTAGGGTTGGGTTTTAAAGTTTTAATTAACAGCAACAAGACTAGTACTGCTCCTTATAATTGCTGCAACTAACTGTTAATCAAGCGTGCTTATAATCATTCCCATTTTACATGTGGGGAAAACAGAGGCCCCAAGAATGGAGCCGCCTTACAAAGATTGCAGAGACCATGGAGCTAGTAAGTGGCCAAGCTAAGAGACACCCCAGAATCTATGCTTGCCCCCAATGAGCCTGATTGCTCTTGTCATGGCCTAAACTAGGTGCCATTTGTAATTCTAGGACAGGCGAGGGGATTAAAGTTGCTCAACTGGACTGACCCAGTCCCTGTGCCTGAGGCCTCTAATCTGGCCTAAGACCTCCATCCCAAGCCTTGGGGGCCCTTTGTTGTCCCAGGCACTGCTATGAAGACTCTCTTACTGTGGACAGGCCTTGTTGGTGCCCTGCCCAGGGTTCTGTCCCCAGGCTGGGACTCCATCTTGTGCTGCTGAAAATAGGCTTCTCTTGCCTCACAGGTGCCCCCTTCTGCATTCCTTGCCTCTACAGGCCTCAGCCAATAACTGACTGGCATGGAGGAAACTCAAGACCAGCCTCTTGCCTATGGTGGCACTAGCTCTGCTCTCCAGAGTCCCTTTAGATCTGGCAAAGCTGGACTTGGGATCTTTCCCTGTCCTATTCTGCTTCTCTCATTCTCCTGGGGGTTGGGGGAAATCTCCGTAGAAGGCTCTGCTTCTAGGGAGCCCAGCATGACAGGGTGGGAGGTAGCTGGCAGCTGCGCCCACAAGAGCCCCCACAGACCCTCCTCAGCTCACCCTCCCTCCCCAGATTTGCCTAGCAGAAGCTGGACACACAGGCCAGGAATGAAAGAAAGTACTAGATGTAATTTTGTTAAGCATGGGAGTGGCTGGCATGGGTCCTTCTTTAAGGTGATACTGGGACTAGAAAGGAGAAAACGGGACTGTGGCCACTGAACAAGATTCTGGGTTCCAACCCATGAGTAGGAGCTGCAGACACAGTGATTCAGTAGGGAGGCCCCAGATGGAGGCTGTGTGCCCTGTTGTGAGAGGCCATGTGGCAGGAACTTTGGGCAACACCTCTATAAGTTGAGGTTCCTACCGGGACCTCAGTCCTGCAACCATGTGGAACTGAATTCTGCCATCAGCCACATGAGCTCAGAAAAGGACCCTGAAAGGAACTCAGCCCAGCTGACACCTGGGTGCAGCCTTATGAGTCCCTGAGCAAAGGACTCCACTAAGCAGGGCCCAGACTCCTGGCCCAGGAGAAAGATGAGATAGTGTGTTTCCTTTTAAGCCACTATGTTTATGATAATGTGTTATACAGAAACAGCAAACCAATACACCTAGCTTGGCTATGGCCCAAATAGGTCTCTGCACTTCTCTGAACCTGGATCTTGCTCTGTAGATGGAGTGGTAGTCCAGGGTGTGTGCCCAGGCCTAGAGCCCAGAGTCCCAGCCAAGGTGGCCCCGAAGGAGCCAAGTGGCACTTGTGAAGGATGACTCACCCTGGCTCGGGAGGAAGGTGAGATGTAGTAATGGCTCTCAGAGTCCCCGAGCCGGATGAGATGGCGGCAGGTGCGGGCCAGCCCACTCAGGGCACACGTGCTGGGGGAGAGAAGAGGAGGCCATGGGTGCCGAACAGAATTCACCTACCCATTCAGAAAGAGGATCAGCAGCCAGAGCATGCTCCCAAAGGAGGGGCAGGGACTGGCCTTCCTTCCTACCCAGCTTCTGAAGAAGCATAGGGCCAGGCTAAGATGGCAGATGGCCCCAGCATAGACCTTAAACACAGCTGGATCATCCTATGCCAAGACCCCTTGCCTTGCCCTGCTTGGGTAAGAGAGCTCGGTCAGCTGCAAGCCCCACTTATCCTTTACTGGGACCTCAGACCCAGTCACCCCTTCTCCCACCTAGGCAGGGGTTGAGGTCTGGCTGCCTACCCAGGTAAGCAGGGTGCTTACCTGGCTTACTCACCCAGCCTGTTACTTCCTTTAGTACCCTACCTCCCCATGATTCTCAGCTGCCTGCCTACGAGCCCCTACTAAAGAATGTACCTTGGACCACCTCTCTCAGTCCAGGCCTGGACCACCTCACTAAGCATCTTCAGCCACCCATGTGTCAGATCTCAGCTGCGGCTGAACAGCTCATCACCCCCACCCCCTACTCCCAAATCACACAACCTCCACTGGTCCTCCTTCATAACTAACTCTGGGGCATCAGCTGCCAGGCTCCCTTCCCCACTCCCTCCACTTGGTCACCATGTCCCCATGCTAGGTCTGAAAACGCTCCTTGCCTGCAGAACTTATCAGGGTTTTTGTTGCCTCCTGCTTCACTATGATGCTGAAATGACCAAAGAATCCTTTTTCAGGGAGCAACTGCTTCTAGCAGATTGATGCACAAACCAGCAAAGGGTCTTTATATTCTGGTCCCAAATATCCTCTACATCCTCAGTCCCAACTTCCTGCCTTCCGCACTACTCTGCCCCTGACCCACAGAGGTGTGTCCGTTAATACCCTAGCTTCTCTGACCTTCACTGACTCTGTAAGACCCTTCTTTACTTGGCTGACTCCTATCCACCCTTCCAAACCTTGCTCAAATGTTCCCTCTCCATAACAAAGCTTCCATCACGGGGCCAGCCCTCTGAAGCCAGATCTTGGGCTGCCAAGGGGAAAACCTCCCTGTCTCTGTTCCTTGCTCCACCCTGGCCATGCTGTTCTGCTATCCCTGCTCAGTCCTGGCTGAGTAACAGGGAGGACAGGATGCCAGGGCCATTGGTTATTTATTGGCCGGAGGCAGAGCCAGTCACTGACAATTACTTATGTGTCCCTGTGGGACAGAGGGAGAGGGAGAGGGAGCATGTGTCGGGCCAGCCAGGATGAGACACAGTTGTGTCTGCAGGGTTCAAGGGTCTAGGACTCAGGGCAGCAACTGTTTTTTTTCAGGTCATAGCATTGCGAGCTAAGTCATGCCAGCCTGAATGTCGCAGCCCCTGCCTGCCCTCAGGCCCCCACACCAGGACCCAGGAGGCTTGAAATTCTGCAAACACCCACCCGAATCTCCTACCACAGCCCAAGGCTCAGTGTTGGGCTTTCCTGGCTAAGCAGGAAGGGGATAGGGTGCTAAGCTTACTTGGTACTGCCACGCTCAACAGAGGCCACCTTCAGCGTGGGCAACGTCTGAGAAGCAACGGGCTCAATGGTGAGAGTGTTGTCCTCCACGGCGGACTGTACCAGCGCTGAGAGCTATGGCAAACCAGGGGAGCAGGTGGGGTGGTGAGGGGCTGGTTGCCGGCTAAATGGCTGAGGTGCTGGGACCCCTGGCTGGCTACCCTCAGCCTTCCTCACCTCCTGCATGGTGAAGTCCAGGCAGGGGCCCACATCCTCACGGTACACCCTTTCCAGAAAGGGGCAGGTCTTGTCCAGAGTGGGTGATGCCCTCCAGGTCTGGAACTCTGTAAACAGGGTTGTGTCCACCTATGGGGAGGTAAGCCAGGGTGGGGGCCATCAGGGCCAAGGACCAGCACCGCAGGGGAGGCAGAGCTGAGGGAGAGGAGCTGGGAAGATGCAGAAGGGCCCAGCAGCTGTGCAGGGCCTAGTCCAGGGGATGAAGAGCTTCTGTCTGCCCTTTCTGCACCAAAGAAATTAGAACTAAATGTTTTTGTGCAGGTGTATTTTAAGTTTCTTGGTGCTACAAGATTACAGACTTGGGTCCAGGGCTTCATTCTGAAGATACCCACTACCTCCTTTTGGAGGAAAAAACAAGAGAGCACCTGGAGGAATCCACAGGTCCCTGCAGGTCTAGGATGCACACACAGGTACATGCACATAGAAGGAAACATACATAGGCCACCCTGCTGCCCATTCAGAGAAGGTGATGGTGGCCTGCTCTGGGCTGCATGCAAACTGAGTGAAGCCCAGAGGGGTTCAGAAGGGGCAGCCCCTCTCTGGAGCCATTACCTGTCGGGAAAAGGAGAGAGAGGTAGCAGAGGTGGGGGCCGAGGGCGGCTCCCCAGGCGGGAGCTGCCAGGCTGGCTCGTAGGTAAGGTGGACGGCCTTGCTGGGGATCACACACAGGAGCAGGGAGAGTAGTGGAGGAAACCCAGGCTGGGCCAAGGGGTACAAAAGACAGAAAGACAGACAGACAGGTGCACAGAGACAGACAGGAGGAAGGAGATGTCAGTGTCCAGTCAGAAGCTCAGAGGTCAGAAAGGGACCAAGGGAGGCTGGTAGAGTGGCTCAAGTGGTAGAGCACCTGCCTAATAAGTGTGAGTTCAAACCCCAGTGCCACCAAAAAAACCAGAAACAAACCAGAACACAAAGGGGCCAAGGGGCTTTGCCTGAACCTCCTCGAGACAGAGATGAGGATAGGACTGAGTTGGGGTGTGCTTGACACCAGAGCCCAGGAAGCTGAATCCCACATCTCTCTGAACTTTTTTTTTGGTTTGAACTCAGCACCTGCACCTTGACCCATTCCACCAGCCCTTTTTTTGTGATTTTTCTATTTTTTTTCTAGATAGGGTCTCGTGAACTATTTTGCCCACTGGCTTCGAACCTCAATCCTCTGATCTCTGCCTCCTGAGTAGCCAGGATTACAGGTGTGAGCCACCAGCACACAGCTCTGACCTGACTCTTGATATCTGTGTTTCAGAAGTTCCTCCCATGGTCCCAGGAGGTCTCATGTGCCACTTGAGGAAATGGTTGTGCTAACAGGTGGTCTCACTTGCCTAAGGCCCCATGGCCTAGACCCATGCCTGGCTGAGGCAGAAAAGGGACAGCTCTCCAAGGATAGAGGCAACAGGAACTCTTAAGTCCAGGGGTGTCATGAAGTGATACTGGACTTTGGAGCTGTGGGCAGTCACCCCTAACCAGAGGCCCTGCAGCTTCTGCCCAGCTCTTAAGATCAAGGGAGTATGGTCTCCACAGAGACCCCCCCGGGTCTGACCTCAGGTTCAGAGACCACCACCTACTGCATGGAGTCAGTAGAGGGGTTTATCAGGCCCTCCACCTACAGAGATTGAAGAGATGGAGCCTGCCTTGCCCTCACAGCAGAGGACACCAAGGCCCAGAGGGGCAAGACAGGCTATAGATCATATAGTAAGGGGTCAGGATGGCGCTTACTGGCCTCTGATCCAGTTGACAGCAGGCTCCCCCATCCCAGTCTGCCACCTCACCTCCTTGCCCTCCTTGTCTGGGGTGAGGGTGCGCCCTGCAGGCGGGCATGCAGCAACAGGGCAGAGGGCATTGCTGGTGCTCTTATGGCGCGAGTGGCCCTTTCGGGGCCCAGCCTTAGTGGGGCTCAGCAGCTGTGGGTGGAGTTCACGGTTGGGAGAGGCTGGTGTGGACGTGATGACCAGTGTCTTCAAGGCTGTCACCTCCGCCTGCAGCATGTCGATCTGGCCCAGATGGGATGGCCGTCAACCCTAACCCAGGGTTAACGCCATCCTGGCTACCACTGCCTGTCAGCCCAGCTTAGGACAGCCTGTCTCCAACAGCAGCTAGCATCTAACTCTTCTCATCACAGCCTTGGAACAATGTTTAGGGTGGGGGCCAACATACCCATTTTACAGATAGGGAAACTGAGGCCCAAAGAGGAGACATGGCCTGCCTGAGGCCACACTGTTGAGAGTAAGTGTCTGGGAGCTTCCTGGGTCTCCCACTGAGCACTCTGGGGTCTCCTGGAGCCAGGAACAGCTCAGGTCTCACATTTTACTGATGAGCAAACAGGCTCCAAGAGAGGAAGCTTCTTGTCTGTGCTCCATAGCAAGACTGAGTTTTCAGCTTTGTAAGGGGGGCTGGGAGGAGGGAGAGGAAATTACAATAACCAGTTCCTTGAAGGCTCCAGAAATATCTACATGGTGTAGCAGAAACTCTGTGGAGTCTGGGCACTGGGCTCAGATATCTTGCCCCACTGTCCCTGGGCCTGGGCCTACCCGTTTCCACTATCCAACTGGACTGCTAGGATCTGCTCTGGTATCCTTGATAGCCAGTCCTTCCAGGGCCAGGGGCCAGGTTGGAGCATTGTGGCCGGGCAGACTGGGATAGGCTCACCTTGCCCCAAGCCTCCTTCAGCTGCTTTTCTGATGCTGCCTGCTTCATGTTGGCTTCTCGAACCATCTTGTGAGCTTCCTGGAAGAGGACAGCCTCTGTATGAGTGGCCATGAGTCATTGGACACTTGGGTGACCCATTTCCAGGCTGCCCTGCCCATCTGGGTACCTCAAACAGGCTGGCTGTCAGCTCCTCCAGCTCCTGCTCCAGCTGCTCACGCACCTTGACCAGTCGCTCACATTCCTCATCCTTCAGCTTCAACTCCTAGGCACAGGCAGGGCTGTCAGCCCTGGAAGGCCTCAGCCCGGCATGGGTTCACTCAGCCCCTCTGGCCAGGCTCCATCCCCTACTCATCCTGTGTGAGGCTCTGGGCCACCAGCTTACTTCCTCTGGTACCTGACACTTTGGGATGCATCTCTCACTTAGCCCATAGCATAGAAGAGGGTTTTAGATAAGTCAAGGTGTATGAAGGACATTTTAAAAAGATACAAGCAGCTGAGGATTTAGCTCAGTGGTAAAGTGCTGTTTAGCCTGAGAGACCTTGAGTTCCATCCCCAGCACTGGACACAAGAACTGGGCACTCCCTTGTAATCCCCAGATGCCCAGCACAGACCTGATATGCAGCTGACCCTGGCAAATGCTCAAGCATTTCCCTTCCCTACACCTCTAGACGTTCCCAGGCTCCTCTTCCCCAAACTCCCTCCATGCTGCCCTGGACCCCACCTTCTGGGCTTTGTGCAGCTCCTCCTTCAGGAACTCTGAGCCCTTCTCTCGGATCTCCATGGAGGAGCTACGAAGGCGTGACATATCCAGTCGGGAGGCTGCAGGGCCTTCCTCAGCTTGGGCCTTCTCCCCTGCAGAGGCCTCCACCAGGGCTCCCAGGGGCTCCCTGTGGCCTTTGCAGGGGCCCACGCTTTTCCAGGAGACTGGGACAGCTGCAAGGGTTGGTGGGAGCCCCTCGTCTGTCTGGGGCGAGCTGCAAGGCAAATGAAAGTATCATCAGGCACAGGGTGGGGTTCTGAGACCTGCAGAACTGAGCCCACGGACAAACCCTGGGCAACTTACCTGCCACTTGGGCCTCAGTCTGTCTATCTCTAAAATAGAGTTGTAAGCTACAGCCGGGGTTGTCCCAGGGGATGAATGAACATGGATGAACTCTCTTAGGGGCAAGGACAGGGATCAAGCCTGGCCCAACACAGCCCAGGGCCTAGATAGACAGCACACAGCCACGGCTCAGTTCATGTTTGTTGAACAGATGACCATAAGTGCATCAATGCTGAGAATCTGAGTCTCCACTTTCATACACGGGGGCACAGTCCCAATGATTGTCCCTTCCAAGGATCGAAGGGGGTGGACAGAAAATCTCAGCACACTGGAGGCACTTACATGGGAGCTGCCTTCATCAATACAGTTCATGAAAATGTAATGCTACAGTTAATATGACATAGATGATACAAATGTTAATATTATATCGTTGAGCAAATTCTACCCCTTTCAGAGTAGACCAGAGAGGAAGCGCGAGGCCAGGGGAGGCAGGAAGATTCTGCAAATAGCCCAAGCAAGGCAGACCCACTTCCTGCTTTCCTGGACCTTGAGAGAAGCAGCCCCAGCTCTCTCCTAGCCTGCTAAGTGACAGGGGGCAAGTAACCCCTTCTCTGGGCCTCAGAAAGCCTTCCTGAGGCTGAAGACCCTGGAGGCAGTGTGAGGCTTCTGCCCCAGATTCTTCCCCAACCACACTCCACGCCTTGGAAGCAGACCCTGGAGAGGGAAGGGAGGGGAAGGTTTGGCCAGTGGTGGTTTGTGCCAAGACAGCACCTCTGGATTTGCTCGCTCAGCAAAAGCTGGGGGCTCCTGAGCCAGCAGCTTCAGAGCAGCAGTGGCTGGGCCTGGGTGGGGGGCTGGGCTGGCTGATAACAGTGGGGAAGAGAGGGGGGAGGGATCAGAGAGGCCGGCACAGGAGGAACACAAGGCCAAGATGTTGGAACTCAGGATAGCTGAGGAGGAAGGGTGAGAGGCAAGGCTGGGGTCCATCACCCCTCCCTGCCCTCAGGGAAGGTCACCATACAGCCTCAGTTTCCCGCTTGGTAACACAAAGGGACTGAGCACCCAGAGACCCCAGCAATGGACCACTGCCAGTTCTTAACATAGCTGTGTCCCACTGCCCAGCCTAGCCTGCTCTCTGCCCTGGAAGTGGTCCAGCATGGGGCCTGGAGGCTTCGGGGCCTGGGTTATGCCTGGCAGGGACTTGGCCTTGATGAATAAGGTGAGGACAGAAACCCATCATTCCATCAGCACTGTGTATGCAACAGGGATCTCTCCTAATACCCTGGTTGCGGGGTGTGGAGGACTTGTTGGCACAGGGTCCCCAAGGCTTAAGCAGTCCCTTCCCACCCCACCCCCCAGAACCTTTCCTAAGGATATGACAGCCCCATGGGTTGCCCCCCAGGGGACTCCCACTGTGCCAGACCCTACACAGGGTGCCCTGACCCTCTTCTCTCATTTAACATTCAACTGCACTAGCAGGACACCTGTCCCCTTCTCCAGAGGAGGAATGGGAGGTCAGCTACAGAGGCAATGCTGAGACAGGCAGCCAGTACTTCAGCCTGAGCCCAAAGCTCTGGCCAAGTGGTCCAGCAGTGAGATAAATGCTGGAATTGGCACATCTGCCCCAGGATCAAGGGCTGCTGGGCTCAAGGGGACTTGGGAGGCTCCTCCTTGGCTATTGCAGGGAGATTTGAGCCAGCTCCAGCCTGAATTGGCTTTGCAGACTGATAAAGCCCAGAAACCACCTTTCCAGGAGAGGGGAGAGCTGAGGCTTACAGTATGACCTCACCAGTGAGCCCCTGGGAATGTTCAGAAATCCTTGGAACCTGCTCCACCTGTAAGATGGGGTGGAAACCTACAGGAGGTGCTAGGCACAGGGGTACAAGCCTGTAATCCCAGTTACTCAGGAGGTAGAGATTGGGAGGATTGTGGTTTAAGGCCAGCATGGGCAAAATGTTAGTGAGATTCTGTCTCAACAAAATAAGTTAGGTGTGGCTGTACATATCTGTAATCCCAGCTACAGAGGACTGAGGTCCAAGGTCAGCTGTGAGCAAAACCTGCCTAAGGCAAAAAGCCTAAACCAAAAAGGGCTTGGAGCACAAGGCCCCGAGCTTAAACCCCTGAGCCCCCTTTACCACCTCCCCCCGCACCAAAAATCACTTGACCTTGTAACCAGATCAATAGTATTCAATCTATAACTAGATTTTGGACCCACAGTGACTGCCCACACTCTGTGTTCAGCAGCTGAAACCTCGGGCCCTGAAGGGTAGAACGGAGTCTCCCTGGAGACCTGGAGCCCACCCCATTTCACTTGGGCTAGGCCGGGGGCAACAAATTCTACCTGAGTGAGTCAACAGAATGAGCGAGAATTGCAAACCGTGGGTGGGGGTGACAACCTAGGACGTAGGGTGAATTCTGGGTCTGAGATGGCTAGCCTTGGTACCTTTCCCGAGGCAAGGACCATTCTGCCATTGCTATAACCCTGCTAACAAGAACAAGACTGCCAACCCTTAGTCCCTTCCCACAAGGACCAAGTTTTACCCACCTGAGGCCCAGGCCTCTGGGTATAGTGAAAGACACTAAGGGCATGGACCAGGGGTTTTTCCCAGCGGGCTCTCACTTCAGGGAAGATAGGACCCTATTTTGCAGCTGGAGACACAGTCCAGGAGGCCAGAGACAGGCTCTCTGTGGCACCTTCCCCTCCCTTCCCCAGTGGAAAAGCCCAAAGCTCCAATCCTAGTGGCAGGAGCATGAAAACAGCAGGCCTCCCTGAAGCCATCAACTTCCCTCCAACTGGCCAGGAGTGGCCAGAGCAGGAGGGGAGGAAGGGCCCAACCTGTGCATGGAGGGAAGCTCCAGGCAGCAGACCCTCCTCCCCTCCCACTTCTAGGCTTCCAGGCGAGCTCCTGTGACCCATAAAATTCAGAGGAAGGAGGGACTGGGTCCCCAGGTTTAGCTGAGCCAGAATCCCAATATTCCATGCATGGCAGCCTCCTAGATCAGAAGCCCCCCAACCTGGGTGTGAACACTTGAAGTGGTGGGGTCTTAGAGCCGGGGCAGGCCCAGACCACCACTGAGGTTCTTGTCTGATGTCCCTGCTCCTTCTCGGTTCCCATTTCCTGTAGAAATATGGAGTCCCAAATCTGGAATAAGCAACACAGGGCCCTGGGAAGGGGTCTGCAGAGGAGCAGGAGATAGTAAGAGTCAAGGTGAGGTTGCCAGCATCCCCCATCCTGAAGCTGGCTCCCATGCCTAGAGCACCCTGGGCTCATACAGGAAAGGCCACGCTGGGTCACTTCCCCAGGAAACACAATCTGGTAGGGGTGTGGATGCGAGGGGTAGAAAGCAGCAGCTGCAATTCTCAGCCCAACAGGCCTGCCCTGAGAGGGCCAGCAGGGCTTTTGTCGCCACCCCAAAAATACAGAAAATGAGGACTCCTAAACTCCACAGCCCTCAGTCGTTAGGGCCAGAGAACCTGGCCAGGAGCCAATCAGAATCCTGTGTGGCCCACAGGGTGCCATCTGTCACCAGCCTGGACAGACCAGCCTGCTGCATGTCCCTTGGCCAGGGTGCCCCTCTGCATCAACTCTGGAGTTAAGTAACCTCCACGCTAATAGGCACAATGGCTCATGCAATAAGCAGGGGAAGGGACATCCAGGGCAGCTCCAAAGCCAGGCAAAGGACAGGGCTGAGGGCTTGTTGGGAGCACAAACCCTCTGCCCAGAGAGGCTGCAGAAACCCTGCCCAGGGCCCAGCTCCCAGTGGGTCACAGGGGTTCGGTTCAGATTCACATGGGGTGTGCCCAGTATGGCCCATGGGGAACTAAGGTTGATAGCTGCATGATAGGTACCCAGGGACCAAAGGGGTCTGAGGAAAAGTATTGTGTGCTGACTATCTGATGAGCCTGCAAGCCCAGCAAAGCTCAGTCTAGAAAGAGGGCCAAGTCTTCAGGGCCAAACCCACAAGCATAAATGGTTTCCAGGCACTAGGTCATGTTCATGCCAGCTCGTCATGATGAGCCTCCATGTCTCACCCTATGGAGACTCATAGGATGCAAGGAGATGCACTTCCCAGCTTGGTTTTAATGACAAGGTACACAAGGACCAGAGAGGGTGAGTGACCTGGCTAAAACACTCAGCAAGGGAGTGGCAGGCTGGGAACTGAAGCCAGAGTGCAGGCACAACGTGTCACGGGACTGGTTCCCAAGAAGAGGGAATGAATGGTTTCAGAGAAGTGAGGCAGGATGCAGATGGGGTTTGAGGAAGTTTGAGACAACGCCCAAGTGGGGGTAGGGCGATACCCAAGGTTGCTGTTCCAGACATAGAGAGGGGGACACACAGGGGATGCATCAAGCCAAAGACTCTGTAAGGGGAACCAGGGGAGGCCCAGGACCTGGACAGAGGAGCAGGAAAAACACACAGTCCAGTAATTAATTCAGATAAGTAAACACCAAGGAAGAGGTGAATGAGAACAGTGGAATCCACGATGAGAATCAGGAACTGGGAAGGGGTCTTCAGGGAAGCAAAAGTGGGTAACTGAGGCTTTTGGGAAGTGGCACATGTTGTGGATGGCTGAAGGGAAAAGGCAGGACAGTGACAGCTGTGGGGAGGCTCCAGCTCAGGGGAAGCAGCTACAGCCTGGGCTAGAGGATGACATCAGGGAACCCGGGGGATGGGAGAGGAAATCTCATCTTGCTGCAGGTAGAGCCAGGATCCAATGAGCCAAGGCAAGGAGGGGCAAAGGGCCAGCAGCAGACAGGGGAGGCCTAGGCCACTCTAAGGAAGGAGGAGCAGGTGCAGGGTGGGGGTGGGGGATGCAGGAACAGCAGTAGTTGCTGATGGGAGAAGGAGAGAGAAGGTCAGGACACCTAGAGCAGGTAGCCAAGCCAAACCTCTCCCTACTGTTGCCTCAGGCCTGCCAGCTTAGCCTAGC